AGGGCAGGTTACTATTGGCTGACAATGGAATCTGACTGTTGTAAATATGTGAAAAAGTGCCATAAATGCCAGATTTATGCTGACAAGATTCATGTGCCTCCAACTCCTCTCAATGTTATCTCTTCTCCATGGCCTTTTTCAATGTGGGGCATTGATATGATTGGAATGATTGAGCCTAAAGCGTCAAACGGACACCGTTTCATATTGGTGGCTATTGACTATTTTACCAAATGGGTTGAAGCTGCATCATATGCAAATGTGACTAAGCAAGTAGTGGTCAGGTTTATCAAGAATCAAATTATCTGTCGGTATGGTGTTCCGAGCAAGATCATCACTGATAATGGGTCGAATTTAAATAACAAGATGATGAAGGAATTATGCGATGAGTTTAAGATTGAGCATCATAATTCTTCTCCTTATAGACCCAAGATGAATGGGGCTGTTGAAGCTGCTAATAAGAACATTAAGAAGATTATTCAAAAGATGGTTGTTACATACAAGGATTGGCATGATATGCTTCCTTTCGCTCTGCATGGGTATCGTACATCCGTTCGCACTTCAACAGGGGCAACCCCTTTTTCTCTTGTTTATGGCATGGAAGCAGTGCTCCCGATAGAGGTTGAAATCCCTTCTATGAGAGTTTTGATGGAAACTGAATTGTCCGAGGCTGAATGGTGTCAAAGTAGATACGACCAGTTGAATCTGATTGAAGAGAAAAGAATGACGGCTTTGTGTCATGGCCAATTATATCAACAAAGAATGAAGAAAGCATTTGATAAGAAGGTTCGACCCCGTGTGTTCAGAGAAGGTGACCTCGTGCTCAAAAAGATCTCGACTTTTACTACTGATTCTAGGGGCAAGTGGACTCCTAATTATGAAGGCCCATATGTTGTTAAGAGAGCCTTCTCTGGCGGTGCATTAATTCTTACAACTATGGATGGAGAAGAGTTCACTCGTCCTGTGAATGCCGATGCAGTCAAGAAATACTTCGTCTAAAAAATAAAAGAACAGCTCGCTAAGTTGAAAACCTGAAAGGGCAGCTTAGGCAAAAATGAGCGTCTCGGTGGATTGAAAACCCGAAAGGGCGGTCCAGGCAAAAATTAGAGACAAAACAGAAATAATTATCCCGGTAGATTGAAAACCCGAGAGGGCAATCTAGGCAAAAGTTAGGGATCATGGCAAGTAACTGCATCTGGCCAGTCTTGATCGTTTGAAGCAACATTTCCTATCAAAGGTTTTACTTCAGATATTCTCCGCTGAAGTCTCAAGCACAGTTGGAATTCAAAGTTGTTAGGGAGAATAATGGTCATTGTATTTCAATGTAGAACTTTCCATTGTACTTACCATTTTTCAAACTTTGTAATGATCCATGGAGTTACGCCATTTGCGGACTACCATTCTATCAATAGAATTTGGGCCTTTGTCCCTTTGTTTGCAATTCTTATTTTGTTTCTGTTTACAGAATTTCATTTTATTTTTGATGATGATTTTTGAAACAAATGTGAATAATTGATTTAAATTTTGAAAATTATAAAAACATTTTTCTTTGATTTGTGAAAATAAAAGAAAGAATGTCAACAGTAATCCCAAGAATGGTAGAATCTTGAAGCGAAAAGCGTAAGTGTTCTCTTCAGCAGGGTTCTTTCTTGTCTCTCTGGTAGAATTTATTGGCAGCTCCCCAGTAGAGTTGTGTTGATGTTCCCCCATTTGAGCTATATTGAGGTCTCTTCAGTAGAGTTTGCTGATATTCCCTTAGCAGAGTTTTGTTTCTTTGGATAAACCAGACGAGTGTTGAACGGTTTTCCACAGCAAAGTCTTGATTCAAATGATGGATATGTTTTATTCATTCAACCAGATTATGATTGGACAGTTGAGAAATTTGAAGATCACTTCTCCTTGATTGTTTTTGCCCAGGCGGAGATTTGTCTTTGATGATTCCTAGCGGAGGTTATGCACATTTGCTTTGGATTATTCCCCAAGTAGAGAACAAGGTTGAGAAGTGTTGACATAGCAGTCACCTGTCGGGTTTTCTCTCACCTTGTGATTGGGTGTTGATTTAAAATCCCCCACAGTTTGACTTTTTGCTATGATGTTAACTTCTTATTCCCCTGTCAGGGTTGGAAGATTTGTGTTGCTATGTTTTTCTCCAACAGTTTTTTTTCTCAAAGCGGAGTTCATATTGTTGTTCCCTTTTGTTGAATTATTGATGGTTGAAGATTTTCCGTTGCTGATCCCCAGCACGATCTCCAATGATATCTCTAACTCGCAGAGATTAGCCGAGTATTTCAATGGTGTTGTAGTGTTTTGTTCACCCTCTGTTTGCCCTTTTTGTCTGATTTATCAACATATTCATACTCATTGCATGCGCATTCATTTTGGTTGAGCATAGCATGTCTTTGTTGCATTGTGCATCCTGCATTTTTTGTTGGTATTTCCCTTTTCCCGATGTTGTTATCTCGCAGAATGCGTATGTCCTCTATTCATTAGAATGTCGACCCCTAAGCAGAAAATACCTATCATTTTTAATTCCCCACTGAGTTTATGCCTCGTGGAAGATGTTTTGTTTAGCTTTCCTCCCCAGTTTTTATCTGGATGGAATTGTTCCCCAGTTGAGTTATTTCCTCATTGAGTCAAGTCTTGTTTGACCGTTTCTTTCCAGTTTGTTCCTGGATTGAACTTTGGTCTCTTGCAGCAGTTACTTTAGTTTTCCCTGGGCTGTGGAACCGGGATGACGAGAAGGTGGTTTTGAGGATTTATTTTCCTCAGCAGAATCTGTTATTGATCCCCATCAGAAGATGAAGATTTGATTTTCCCAGTAGTGTTTTGATAACACTCTCTTGGTAATTACTTATGCAATTTCATGTGGAAGCCTCTTTATTTGAGCAGCTTGTGTAATCTCCAGAAATTTACCTTCGCAATAAATAACATTTCTCTAATTCATCCTCAACAGAGAAGTTTATTGTGAAATGATGGATCTTTATCCGACCAGCTTTTCTGTTCAATTGGAATTTCTGTGAAATAACTCCCGATGAGAATTCTATTGCATGGTTCAACCTGCTCGTATCTCTTTTAAAGATCCCCGACAGAGTTGTTAATATCTTTTTCCAACAAATGGTTGTCTCTTTATTTGAGAAGTTTGTTGTGTGTTTGGAGCTGCTCAGTAACAAGTAGCTAATGATATATCTCTTTCTCCTACCCAGTGACAGGTAGTCGAGTATGTTTGTCCTACCCAGTGTCAGGTAGTCGACCTTTTATCTTTTTCTCCTACCCAGTAACAGGTAGTCGAGTCCGTCCTACCCAGTAACAGGTAGTTGACATGTTGTTTACCCTATCCAGTAACCGATAGTTGGTAACCCCTTTCATTCAAGTTTATTATTCTCGCTAAACTACTCAGTAACCAGTAGTTGGCGTTGCTTCTTTTCCTACCCAGTAACAGGTAGTTGATTATATCTCAACGAGTGGATTACTTTTTATCCAGTAACTGGTAATAAGTAATACATTTCTTTGTTTTCTACCCAGTAACTGGTAGATAACAATTCTCTTGTGTTTTTGCACTTATTTTCTACTCAGTAACCAGTAGAAAGTATTTTACCTATTATCTTCGGTTCGAATATCTTCGCCCAGTAACTGGCAGTTGGTATCTCTTTCCCCATTGAGTCGTTTCCTTTCCCTTATCGGAATAGGATCTTGCTCTTTTGTTTTCTCATGTGGAGTCTCTCTTTTTCTCCCGAGCTTTTGTTTGTCTCCTGTGGCATTATTTCCCCACAGAAGTCTTATGTTCGCATATCATTAGCATAATCATATCATTTTGTGGTCTCTTATGGCTAAAAATTGGGTTAATTGTTATATTTAAGTCTCTTCTATCTAGTCGAGACAAAGATGTCAATCTTCATATCTCCGGATAGAAGAATCTTAAATAGGGGCAGCTGTAATACCCTAATTTTTACCCCTAAGATCCCACATTTCATTTGCATATCATTCCACAAACAAGATCTTACTTTGTGTTTCTTATTTACTTTATGTTTGTTTCTGTTTACTAACATCTAATCAAAATACCAAAAATATTTTTTGTTTCTTCTTCTCTGTGTGTTTAGGGTTTTGCAGGGAGATTGATGGCAAAGACATTCATTCAAGTTTAAATCAGATGGATGTTTGACCTCATCTTGGTCAAACTATCAAGAGATTTCTTTAAGTGTAAATTGGTTGTGGCAGTGGGTTATTTTCTCAGGAAATGTGATTGTTTACGATCAGGTTGTCCTGTATCGGAATTCATCAAGCTTTCAAACAATGTTCTATGAGAAGTTTTGCCCAACTTTAATCAAAAATTCAGAGTTTTGCCTGTACAAGTCAAGTTTGGTGGATGTTCAATCAAGATGTCTTAATTAAGATGCAAGTACAAAGTGTTCATTCAATTGCGCCATTTCCAAGTGAACTTAAAGCATGATTGAAGGATAGATACATGAGAGTGCATAACATTTCTCTTGAAGGAACCTATGCACTTATCTCCAAAAGTTCATATTATCCTAATGAATTGATTGCTTGCAAGCGTGGTAGCCTGCTGCTCCTAGGTGTTAAAGAATTGGCACAAAATAAGGAGGATGGCTCCACCTATGAGGAAAATAAATTCCTATCAAAAGATGTAAAAGCCCAAGGAATTGCTTTTGTCCAGTGACGCCAATGCGGTGGTTGAGCATACCAAGAAAGTGCTAGTTATTGAAGATGGTGAAGTTATGCATATCAAGGATGGCAGGGTTTCTATTTTGAAATATAAGAATGATATGGAAGAACCCATCACTTCTTTCTCCAGAGCTTCTTCAGTGCAACGTGCATTATCTGTTCCGGAAATGGAGGTTATCGTTGAACTTCAGGCTGTTGGTCCAGAGCTTACGTTTTATAACATGTCAAAAGATGTAGGGGAATCGTCAAACTTGTCTAATAAACTTCTGCTTGCACAGTTGGATGCATTTTGCAGGCTTGTTTTGAAAGGTAACAATATTGAGATGAGTGCAGATATACTTGGTCTGGCTAGGGAGAGTAATGGAATCAGGATTCTGGAGCCATTTGATACATCTTTGAAGTACTCAAATGCTTCTGGGAAGACCAATATACATTTATCTGTTTCTGATATATTCATGAATTTCGCAGTCAGTATCTCGAGACTATTTCTAGCAGTGGAAGATGATATTCTATCATTTTTGAGGATGACATCGAAGAAAATGACTATTGTTTGTTCTCACTTTGACAAAGTTGGAGTCATAGAAAATCCTCATAATGATCAAATTTTTGCCGTTTGGAGACTTCATGATCCTCCTGGTTTTGCTGTACTTGGTGACTACCTGACACCACTAGACAAACCACCTACAAAAGGAGTCCTTGCAGTAAATACCAATTCTATTACAGTTAAGAGACCCATTAATTTCAGATTGGTTTGGCCACCTTTAGTTTCTTCTGGGCAATACAGGTGAAGAAATGGACAATTCTGATTTATCATGAGAAACTGAGGTAAATGGTAGCTGTTTTATTTGGTTCCCTGAAGCTCCCAAAGGTTATGCGCATGCCAGCGTAGTTGCCTTATCTGTATGGTTTTGCCGTGAAACAATTTTTGAGGCCCTCCAGTGGTGGAACGGAAGGTCTCCTTCAGATGGTTTAATTTTAGGCTTCTGTACACCGTTGATTGAATGTCCTGCTTTACAAGACCATGCTGATATGGGGGACGAGGGTGTTCAGCTAAAGACTCTTCAAACAATATCAATAATTTTTCAGTCACGTTTACACCCTGAAAATGAGGATACTATGTCTCAAGCTCTTGGTATTTGTCTCAGGCTTCTTGAAAATAGCCGATCTTCTGACAGTGTGCGAGATACCGCTGCAGCTACCTTCAGGCAAGCAGTGGCATTGGTTTTTGACCGAGTGGTTTTGGCTGAGTCTCTTCCTGCCGGAAAATTTGGTTATGGATGCCAGCTCTCTCGGACTTATTCAATTACTGGAGATATTAATCGAAGCATCAATATATCTGACTCATTAGATCATGAATCTACATGTCGAGGGCCTCCTGTGGTGTGGGAAACATTGACCGAAACTGGGGAACTTGGTTTGTGTTTGCTTGAAGACCTGTCATCTCTTACTGCAGGTGGATCTGCAATTTGGCTGCGCGTAAACATTATTCAGAGGACATTTGCACTTGATATTCCTGAGTTCATTTTGTCCAATTATGTGTCTGTTTTCAGAACCTGGTTACCCTATGAACAGGCATTACGACGGCAGATATGTTCAATTCTGATGACTTCACTTCGTACTAATGCTAAGAAGCTGGTGAGCTGTACTTAGATTCAATTATGAAGGATCTAAGAGAGCTATATTCTGAAGTAGAAGTCAAGGTAGCAGATCCTGTTGTCTCATTTTGTGAAACAGTTGTTGAGTCTTCATCAATGAAATGTTCTGCTGAAACACCAAACAAGAAGAATAAAATAGCAAACATCGCTGAGCCTCTAGAAAAAAAGGTTTGGCAGAAGACATAGAGAATGCTGTAAAGGATTCCATTGTTCAGGGATTTCATTGGGGTGCACGGGAAGGACCTTTGTGTGATGAACCCATTAGAAATGTTAAATTTAAGATTGTTGATGCAAGGATTGCCCCTGAGCCACTTCATCGTGGATCTGGCCAGATCATTCCAACAGCACGGCGAGTGGCTTATTCGGCTTTCCCCCGCCTTATGGAACCAGTATATTATGTAGAGATTCAAACACCGATAGATTGTGTGTCTGCTATCTACACCGTGTTGTCTCGTAGGCGTGGACATGTTACTGCTGATGTTCCTCAACCAGGCACCCCGGTTTGTCTTGTTAAGGCTTTTTTGTCCGTGATAGAATCCTTTGGTTTTGAGACAGATTTGAGATACCATACGCAAGGGCAAGCGTTTTGTCAATCAGTTTTTGATCACTGGGCTATTGTTCCCGGAGATCTTCTGGACAAAAGCATTGTTTTGCGCCCATTTGAACCAGCACCAATCCAGCATCTTGCCCGCAAGTTTATGGTAAAAACAAGGCGCAGGAAGGGAATAAAGAAGCTGAAGAATATTCTAGAAGGGCTACCTGAACCTCAGTTCACCTCTGATGACTATATGATGCTGTACACGACCATATACAATATGTGCACTCAGAAGCCTCCTCATGACTATTCCCAACCATTGTATGACAAGTACAAGGAATCATTTGAAGAGTACATCATATCAACAGTATTGCCTTCTTTGAGAGAGAAGCATGATGAATTTATGTTGCGTGAACTTGTGAGGAGGTGGGCTAACCATAAAATTATGGTTCGATGGCTTTCTCGTTTCTTTCACTATTTAGATCGATATTTTATAGCGCGAAGGTCGCTTCCGCCGCTTAATGAAGTTGGATTGACTTGCTTCCGTGATTTGGTTTACAAGGAAATAAATGGGAAAGTGAGAGATGCCGTGATTTCTCTTATTGATCAAGAACGTGAAGGAGAGCAGATTGATCGAGCTCTATTAAAAAATGTCTTAGATATATTTGTTGAAATTGGAATAGGGCAAAGGATCAATATGACAATGATTTTGAAGCTGCCATGCTCAAAGACACTTCTGCATATTATTCTCGAAAGGCTTCAAACTGGATCCTAGAAGATTCTTGTCCTGATTATATGCTCAAAGGCTGAGGAGTGCTTGAAACGGGAGAAAGATAGGGTTGCTCATTACCTACACTCTAGTAGTGAGTCAAAGTTATTAGAGAAAGTTCAACATGAGCTTTTATCTGTGTATGCATACCAACTTCTTGAAAAAGAGCATTCTGGATGTCATTCATTACTTACAGATGACAAGGTTGAAGACTTGTCAAGGATGTTCAGACTCTTTTCTAAAATACTCCGAGGCTTGGAGCCTGTTTCCTGTATATTCAAGCAGCATGTTACCGAAGAAGGTACAACATTGGTGAAGTTGGCTGAAGATGCAGCAAGTAACAGGAAGGCAGAGAAAAGAGATATTGTTGGCTTACAAGAGCAGGTTTTTGTTCGAAAAGTGATTGAGCTGCATGACAAGTACCTGGCATATGTGAACGACTGTTTCCAAAATCATACTCTATTCCACAAGGCTCTTAAGGAAGCTTTTGAGATTTTTTGCAACAAGGGTGTTGCTGGAAGCTCAAGTGCCGAACTGCTTGCCACTTTTTGTGATAAGAAGCAATTGAAGATACTCTTGAGAAGGTTGAGGACGATGCTGAGCTAGTAGAAGTTTTGCCAACAATGAAGTCAAGAAGAAGACTTGTCTTGACAACACAGCTTATGCAGCAACTACTTAACCCTCCTCCAGCTGAAGTTCTCTCTGCAAATGTCAAGTTGCATCATGATAGTGTGATTTATTCTGCTGCTAGATCAGTGCTGGGAGATTGTTGCAGTTCTGTCTCAGTGTGTGGAAGTGATTCACCAGTGCTCTGCCTTACGTCAACAATGTTCCTCATCTCGGCAACATCATTGGATGTGTGCTGAATGCCGATGTGTTCGCTCGGTATTGTCGGCTTCGGGATTACAATGTTATTTATATCTGCGGTACTGATGAATATGACACAGCAACAGAGACTAAAGCATTGGAAGAGAATTGTTCTCCCAAAGAGATTTGTGACAAATACCATGCCATTCATAAGGAGGTATATGATTAGTTCGATATAAGTTTTGATGAATTTGGACGGACTTCTTCCCCTGAGCAAACTGAAGTTTCCAGGCGATTTTCAAAAAGATACACGAAAACAATTGGCTCTCTGAGGACACATTACAGCAGCTTTACTGCGATACATGCAAAAAATTCTTAGCTGATCGGCTTGTGGAGGGTACATGCCCTATTCCCGGATGCGAGTATGATTCTGCTCGAGGAGACCAATGTGAGAAGTGCGGAAACCTTCTAAACCCAACAGAATTGAATATTCCCAAGTGCAAGGTTTGTCGAAATAGTCCTCGTATTTGTGATACAGACCACTTATTTCTTGAGCTCCCTCTTTTGAAAGATAAATCGGAAAAATACATCGACGAGATGTCTGTGGTTGGATCATGGAGTCAGAATGCTATTTCAAACAACAAATTCATGGTTCAAAATGGGATTAAAGAAACGCTGATCTGAAGTGGGGAGTACCTGTTCCACATGAAAAATACAGTGACAAGGTTTTCTATGTTTGGTTTGATGCACCTATTGGATATGTATCAATCACGGCAAGCTACACACCTGATTGGGAGAAATGGTGGAAAAACCCAGAGAATGTGGAGTTGTTTCAGTTTATGGGAAAGGACAATGTGCCATTCCACACTGTAATTTTTCCATCCACCCTACTCGGAACCGGTGAAAATTGGACTTTAATGAAGACTATTAGTGTTACTGAACACTTGAAGTATGAATCAGGGAAGTTTTCTAAGACCAATGGCATTGGAGTATATTCGGTAATAATGCGAAAGATACTGATATTCCAGTTGAAGTATAGAGATATTACTTGCTCACCAATAGGCCTGAGGTATCAGATACAGACTTTACATGGCCTGACTTGCAAGCAAAATTAAATAGTGAGTTGCTGAACAATTTGGGAAACTTCATCAACTGAGTTTTGAGTTTCATTGCCAAAGCCATTGTTCAAGGAACTGAAAGATGAAGAAGTGGAGTTCTACAGGAAGAAATTTGAAGGAAGTCAAGCAGGATTCAGGGTTCCCATGCTTTAAAGGTGGTATACGGATGATACAGAACTTGCGAAAACGATTCCATCTCAGTTTAACAAAAGAGCAATGTGTATCCTTGGTGCTTTCTCTTATCAGCAGTAGCCTTGATGCTCGAAGAACACGGCAGTATGATTATTATCAGAGAGATTTTATAAAGAAGTTCTGTCGGTATATCCATTTTTAATTATGTTGTGGAAATGTTACTATAAATTGTTTCTGTCCATAGGAGATGCGAAGAAAGATTGCTGAAGAAGCAGAGCGAAAACGGCTCGAAATTGAGGTTGAGCTGAAGAAACAATTCACCACTTATCCAAGCCATATTGCAAGCCATGTGAATATAATATCAGCTGACCCCACAAGCTTTCCACGTCACTTAAGTGAGCTGAAAGAAGAAAAAGCAAAACGACATGAATATTTTGTTCAGCAAAAGCTCACGCGTAAACACCCACTTCAAAACGGCAGAAAATTATCACAAGCGGCAAATCATTTTTTCACTCATTCTCATCTATAAATAGAATTCATCCCTCACTCTATTCTTCAAGCTTTTAAGCCAAAAAACCTCTGCTGATTTTCTTCCTCAAATTCCTCACTACCAGAAAAACCTTCGTTCACTTTTCTTCTCCTACTTCCTTCCACCAATTTCACTTCAATTGATACAAATTCAACCAGAGATTCGTTCAGAAGAAGAAGAGAATCAAGAAGAAGTTTGGATTGATTTCTTACCTGTGATTTTGAAGGTAGTTCAATGGATTTC